GACTGCTCTGACCGGGATCACAACAGAGGGTTCTGGACAGAGCTGGAGAAGGATGTAGAACAAAATTCTAACTCACAAAAAAGAAAGACCAGATTTACTGACCTAAAGGAGAATGGAGAAACCCCGAGAGTATGGCCCCCAGAAACCCTTTTAGCTTAGTCATGAAGTCATTTTTGAGGTTCACCGTTCAGCCGGGGAGTCGACAGCCCCATAAAACCAAATGGGACTAATGAGGCGCAGCAGTCCAGGGACAAGGGCCAGAAGGCAGAAGCGGACAGGAAAGCTGGTGATAGGGAACCCAAGGTTGAGGGAGGATAGTGTTGATGTGTTGTGAGGTTGTTAACCATTGTCATAGGGCAACGTGTGTACTAACTGTTCAATGAGAAACTATTTTGTTCTGTAAGCCTTCATCTAAAGTGAGAATAGCAGTACAATTGAAAGAGCGTAGTCAATGTCACTAAACTGTGCACGTAGAAATTTTTGAAATGGTGTCTCTTTGGCTATGTATACTTTCACCAAAGAAAAAAACGCCGAGAAGGGAGAGGGTTGACATGTCATGGGGTTGTTAACCAAAGTCATAAAACAATATACATACTACTGTTTCATGAGAAACTATTTGTTCTGTAAGCCTTCAACTGAAGTACAATAAAAAAAAAAAAAAAAGAAAAAGGATATTAAGGAAACACTATCATTGACAATAGCACCTAAAGAATAAAGTACAGCTAGTCCCTAACTTACAACAGAGTTCCATTTGGAGGACTCCGTTGTAAGTCGGTTCTGACATAAGTTGAATACCTCTTTTTTTTTGTTTTGTTTTTAGTTTTCATTATTATTGCCTTTTATTATCAGTATCTTTATAAATCCGATCTTTGACGGTTGGAAACATTACAAATTAACTTAAAGATATATTTTAATACACACATAAAAAAATACACAAATCATAAAAAGTTACTCTGACGATGAAGAAGAGTTAGATGATGTTAGCATTTTGTCAGTTTTGGTAATAACTCCACTTTTGGAAGGTTCTGGATCATCTGGATTATCCCTGGAAATGAGGATGGCATTTCTAGTCATAAAATTAGAGTTATCTGTATGGTCCTTTTCTTTTTTTCTTCATATATTTCACAGTAACATCTGTTTCCCAAGTCTGCCTATCAACTTTAGCAAAACTATCAGTGATTGGGTCCGTGTTTTCAAGCAACTAAAGCCCCCGATTTAGTTTTGAAAAACCTTCAGCTAACCCTTTTACTGTAAAATTTTTTGACAACTTCTCTCCTTCCTCTTCAACACTATTTCTTTCTTCTTTCCTTCGTCTTCAAAGTTCATTAACTCCTGTCTGTCAATTCCCCTTCTTCGTGATCTATGAGCTGATCCACATGGGCAATACCAAGTTCTGAATTCAGCATTCTTGCAATATGGAAGATTTTTCCACTGATCTCTTCCGTCATGTTATTCTGATGCTTCTCATGGTACAAAACGCTGAATAAGATCACGCTACAGACCTGGTCTACAATGAAGTCGGCGTCAGTGTCATAATAATGAAGTCGAAGTTGTAACGGCTGTCAGGTGCACGTGCAGCTCAATTGTTGTATGTTGTTAGAGTTGAACATTGTTCAATTTTCTGTCTGTTATGACTCCTGACACTGACACTGATTTTACTGCAGACCAGGCTGTAGCCAGCTATACGGCAGTGATTTGAACCATAAATCATAAAATTGAACATCTGCAAGTGAACATCCGAGGATAATAAATAACATCAGCAAATCACATGCTGCAACACTGCATGTAGTACATATTACTAACAATAAGATGTACAAAAAAAGACGGTTGCAGGTGCAGTTCATCTTAATTCAAATATGTCATAAATCAGGGACTATCTGTACCTAGGAATAAATTTAACCGGGAAGGTGAAAGACTTATACACAGAAAATTATAAAACATTACTAAAAGAAATTAAAGAAGACCTAAATAAATGCAAGGACATTCCATATTAATAGATTAGAAGGTTTAATATCCTTAAGACATCAATACTATCCAAAGCAATCTATAAATTTGATGCAATCAGATTTCCAACAGCCTTCTTCAGGGAAATGGAAAAGCCAATCCTCAAATTTATATGGAAGAGCAAGGAGCTCCAAACAGCTAAAGCAATCTTGAAGAAGATGAATAAAGTAAGAGGACTCACGCTTCCTGATTTCCAAACATACTATAAAACCACAATAATAAAAACATCCTGGGACTGGTATAATAATAGATATATAGACCAAAGGAATAAAATTGACAGCCTGGAAATAAACCCATACATTTATGGTCCACTCATTTTCTACGAGGGTACTAAGTCCATTCAATGGGGAAGGAAGAATCTCTTCAATAAACCATGCTGGGAGACTTGGATTTCCACATGCAAAAGAATGAATCAGGATCTATGCCTCACACCATATGCAAAAAACAATTCAAAATGGATCAAGGACATAAACGTGAAAACTAAAACCATAAAATTCTTAGGAAAAAATATAGAAGTGTGGCTGCAGGGCTTAGTTTTTAACGATGTACTATCAGATATGATAACAGAAGCATGTGAAGCAAAAGATAGATAAATGGGACCTCATAAAATTACTTTTTTTTTTTATTGTAGTTTAGATGAAAGTTTACAGAACAAATAGTTTCTCATTAAACAGTTACTACACATATTTGTTTTATGACAATGGTTAACAACCCCACGACATGTCAACACTGTCCCTTCTCAACCTTGGGTTCCCTATTACCAGCTTTCCTGTCCCCTCCTGCCTTCTAGTCCTTGTCCCTGGACTGTTGTGCCCCATTATTCTCATTTTGTTTTATGGGGCTGTCTAATCTTTGGCTGAACAGTGAACCTCAGGAGTGACTTCATTACTGAGCTAAAAAGGTGTCCCAGGGCCATGCTCTCGGGGTTTCTCCAGTCTCTGTCAGGACAGTAAATCTGGTCCTTTTTGTGAGTAAGAATTTTGTTCTACATTTTTCTCCAGCTCTGTCCAGAACCCTCTATTGTGATCCTGGTCAGAACAGTCAGTGGTGGTAGCCAGGCTCTATCTAGTTGTACTGGACTCAGTTTTGTGGAGGCCATGGTAGTTGTGGTCCATTAGTCCTTTGAACTCATCTTTTCCTTGTATCTTGTTGTCTTCATTCTCCATTGCTCCCGAAGAGGTAAGACCAGTGGAGTATCTTAGATGGCTGCTCACAGGCTTTTAAGACCCCAGCTGCTATTCACCAAGGTAGAATGTAGAACATTGTCTTTATAAACTGTGTTATGCCAATTGAGCTAGATGTTCCCTGAGACCATGGTCCCCACAGGCCTCCACCCAGCAATTCAGTCCCTCAGGGAGTTTGGATTGTCTATGGAGCTTCCATGACCTTTCCCTGTACAAACTGTGCTGGCTTCCCCAGTATTGTGTACTGTCTTACCCTTCACCAAAGTTATCACTTATCTATTGTCTATTTAGTTTAAATACTTCTGTTCATCAAAGGACTTTATCAGAAAAGTGAAGAGAAGGCCTACAGACTGGAGAATATTTAGGGGAACCATATATCTGACAAAGGTCTAATATCCAAAATGTATTTAAAAAAAAAAAAAACTACTACAACTTAAGAACAAAAAGGTAGACAATGCAATCAAAATACGGGCAAGGGGCTTCAGTAGACATTTCACCAAAGAGGATAGTCGAATGGCCAACAAGTACACGAAAAGATGCTCAATGTCATTAGCCATTAAAATATACATGACAAAACATACGCCAATTCAACAATTTCTACATGTATAATTCAGTGACATTGATTACATTCTTCAAGTTTTGCAAGCATTTTTGCTATCCTTTACCAAATTATTCACCAGTATAAACTTAAACTCACTGTCCCTAAGCAATAAAATTTCCCTTGGCCTTTCTTCCCACCTCTGATAATCACTAATAATTTTTGGTTTCTATATATTTGTTTATTTCATATAAGTCAGATCATACAGTATTTGTCCTTTTGTGACAAAGGTGCAAATAAAGATGCAAATCAATACCACAATGAGATTACCACCTCACTCCCATTAGAATGGCAATGAACAAAAAACAGAAAATAGGTGTTGGTGAGGTTGTTGAGAAACTGGAACCCTCATCCATTGTTAGTGGGAATATAAAATGGTACAGCCACTGTTCGGCAGTTCCTGAAAAAGTTGAACACAGAACTACCATATAACCCAGCAATGCTAATCCTTGGCATATACCCAGCAGAAGCGAAAGCAGGAATGCAAACGGAAATCTGTACACCAATGTTCATTGCAGCACTTTCCACATAGCGAAAATCTGGAAACAACCAAACTGTCCATCAACAGATGAATGGATAAACAAAAAGTGGCATATAGATACAATGGAATATTACTCAGCCATAAAGAGAAATGAAGTCCTAACACATACCACAACATGGATGAACCTTGAGAACATTATGCTGAGGGAAATAAGTCAGTCACAAAAGGACAAATACTGTATGATCTCACTTACATGAAGTAAGTAAATATATAAAAACCAAAAATTATTAGTGATTATCAGAGGTGGGAGGAAGGGCCAAAGGAAAAGTTATTGCTTAGGGACAGTGAGTTTATGTTAATAGTGGTGAATAATTTGGTAAAGGATAGCGAAAATGCTTGCAAAACCTGAAGAATGTAATCAATGTCACTGAATTATACATGTAGAAATTGTTGAATTTGTGTATCTTTTGTCATATATATTCTTACCACAATTAAAAAAAAAAAACTACTAAATCAATAACAAAAAGTTATTATGGCCAGAAGAACAAATACATAGATAACAGTCTTACTGCTTGTAATTTTTCAGATGCTAATTGGGTTGCTTCAGGTGTAAAATTTTCTCTTAGCAGAAATCCTTGTTTCTTCAGCTCTTCAATATAGTTTTCATAGTACTCACTTGCATCTGCAGAAGTTTTCTTTCCAGAGAATTGTCTTCTAGTCTGTGAATTATAGTATATCTCAAAGTGTCAGGATATGAATGCACAAGAACTTATTAACATGTCAATCTTTACTGAACACCCACTATGTACCATGGGGGAATAGAAACATAAATAGTGCCATGAAGGAGTTTAGAAACTAGTATTTTTCAAATAATTATTTAAGCCTTCAATTCTTCACAAAACAGCCTAAAATCTGGAAGTATGGGGTGGGTAGAGGGGTTGTGCAGACACAACAGCAGAAAACCGGCAGTTGATGCATTGGAGTCACTCAGACTTTCATTCAGAGCCCATATGTTCTCACTTCACATAGCATTCCAATAAGCTTTGAAGTCTGCCTTTCTAGCTTTTTGGAAATGAGAAAAACAAATCATAGGAAGGGAAGAAAAAATACTTCAAAAAGGAGGTATTGTTTAAAAAAAAAAAATGGATAGTGAGGAAAAGGCAGGAAGGCTGTTAGGACATACACAGCACTCTTGAAGGCATGGAGTAAAAGTCTCTGGAAAGGCACAGACAGCCCACATCTCTGTCCTTCCTCACTCCAGCCTGCCAAGGGACATGGCATTCTCTGCTCTTTGGAAATCCCTGCCCCTGCATGGCCAGGTGTCCTAGCATTAAGTCAAGGGAAGATGGCTCTGAGTACACAGCCCAAGGGACACTGTGCCAGGCCACTCCTGATCTCCGACACAACGTGAAGACCGCCTCTATAGCTTGAGACTACACTGTGGTCAAGTTTCTCCATTAAGAAGGTACAGTGAACATAATTTTGAAAGATTTCCTTCAAAATGGTTTAAAAAGGCAAGCTAGAAAACCCTTGTATGCAGAATATCCCCTCTCACTGCTGGTCAGGTGAGGATTATTTCCTTCAAGGTACACAGGCTTCTCTTCCCAGGGACCCTGGCTGACCCAGGGAGTGCTGCACTCAAGTTCTGAGACACCCAGGAAGGGCTCTGTTACATTAAGCAGGAAGGACGTGATGGCTTTGTGCAGCTTACAGTTTTCTTTTTAAATGAAGAAAGAATTATAATACATTCTATATCCTATCATGGTTTTTAACTTGACTTTTATTTACTTTTTGCCCCAACAACTAAATGTTCCACAAAATATCGTACACATTTTTGGGTAAAAGGTTAAACAGAACACTTTCTCTCTCTTGCACAAATCTGACTTTAGATTAACTCTCTAACTCTATTCCAATGGAAACCTGATAATGGTGGAATGCCAGCTGTAGTATTAGGCAAAACTGATTAGGTGATAGTGACCTCTGGTTGGTAAATTGCATCTGGACTAGTTCAGTGAATGAACTATAAACACCTGGTGGGGAGCCTTAACTGTGGGTTTCCCTGAGAGCAGTGACTCATAACTGGACATGTCCCTTGAGGGCCTCTTGAATCCATGCCAATATTGCAAGATATACTGATTCCTGTGGGGTAGGGCTTCTAAGCCCTCGTGGGTCCTGTACCCACCTGATATGAGTCTCCTTTCCTTCTACTTGCACTGACACCTGGAGCAGGAACCTGTGAGAACTGCTGTGAGGACCACCTCCCTCTGAAGAGAAATGCCTGGTGCCGCCCTGCCTGCATAAGGAGTTTCCTGGCCTGTACACTTCTAGTGCCAGCGTGGCCCTTGGTAGATTTGTAAGTCCTGAACATCTAGTTTAGAAGACACCTTAATGGGTATTATAGTATTTTAGTTACACTTTAGGTATTAATTCTGAATCTATGTTTGTTTCATAATTATTTTAGAGTGGAATTGTGCTCTTGATCTGATAGCCTCTGCAAAGCCTTCCTTGACTTTCCCAGGTTGCCTGTGACCCCTGAGCCCACAATACTTTACATAAATTTCAGTATCGGTACTTCTCACAATGGATTATAATTATTAATGCTTTTATTTCCTTCCAGATGGTAATTTATGAAGGTCAGGGTGTGACATATTTTTTCTCTTTGGGTCCTGGCACCTAATAGATTGTTTGGCATATAACAGATGCTTAAGGAAGTATATTAAGTGAATTGCTTTTAGAGATAGAAATAGAAAAATATTTCATAAGTGATTTGGAAAATGAGCAGGAACCCTCTATGCCCTGCATCCCAGTGAATGATTTCCTATGGAGAGATCCCCAGGCCATCTGTTTAGGGTACACCATTCTCACCCTGCTCTCCTCACCTGCAACACTGCAAAACAGAACATATTTTAACCTTCATCTAAAGCGAGAATAGCAGCACAATTGGAAGAGCATAGTCAATGTCACTGAACTGTGCATGTAGAAATTTTTGAAATGGTGTATCTTTGGCTATGTATATTTTTACCAAAAAAAAAAAATAAGGTCGAGAAAGGAGAGGGTTGACATGTCGTGGGGTTGTTAACCAATGTCATAAAACAATATGTGTACTACTGTTTCATGAGAAATTATTTGTTCTGCAAGCCTTCACCTGAAGTACAATTAAAAAAAATAAATAAACAGAACATATTTCCTCTTTGCAAAATGATTTACCAGGTAAACCAATTGGTTTGTTCACTAACCAATGTTAAGGAACCTAATTATGGACAAGGGTGGACAAACACACAGGAATCCATATAAAGATCAGTACCTCGATTCCATCAGCCAGGAGGAAACATGCAGTTATTAGAAAAGGACAGTCCCAGTGTTCCTGGAAGCACTGCATTTCCACCACTACAATTTCCTTCCTGCCCTCTGTCTCAATCTGGAAAAAATACACTATATTATAAACTGCATTAGTTAAATACCAAACCACACACACACCATTGAAAATGTAGATTGTGAAAGTAATACATGTTCATTTGGAGATATAATTTAGAAAATACAGTAAAGTATAAAAAAATTAAAATCACCTTATATTCTACTGTAGATACATAGTCACTTAATATTTTGGTATATGTTCCTCCTGTATTTTTACCATAGATATATCTGTATGTGTTTAACAGTAGCATTTTTCATGTTTTCTTTATCACAGAAGGAAATGTTATTTTCAAATTAGGTTTTATTAAGATATCTAAAAAATACTAATGGAGCCTTATGTTCAAACACTAGTATTTTCATTTGTATAAGTCCAGAGAAAAAGTTTTGTTTTTCTTTTTATGCAAAAGCATTGGAAATTTAACATGGCATAAGTATTTGGTATCAAATCTGCCATTTTAAAACATAGGAAACTTAATTACAGGGAGAAATTTCATTTTTAATGTTATATTTATAGTCTGTACTGTTTAAATTTTTATTATGAGCACGCATTACTTTTATCATAAAACACTAAAAAATTAGACATTAAATTTAAAATGTGAAAATTTCTTGACTTAAAAATCGACTCGCGTATTAAGCAATTTTTACTTAGAACGTACACAAATTTTCAAAACAATGAGAAAATTATGGAACAGGAAAACAATCAGGTTTTTTGTTCTTTTTTCCAAATAGAAATTGAACTCTTACTTTTTCCAAGGTGTCATATTTTGCAACTTCAAATTCTTGAGAAAAATGAGGAATTTCAACATTGTCTGTATAAAACCTGAAATTTGTATAATTAAAATAACAATAAAGTGCATTTTTAGATCACACAGAATTTTTCACAAAATTTTTCTTGAAGATCTCCTAATTCCTTATAAAATACACTGTCAGTCTTTGCCTGATGCTGTCTCTTAGGTATTCTAACAATGAAATGAGCTGATTCCTCCTCAACTATGATGTCAAGCACTGTGACTGTCTGCACTGGAAGGAGGGACTGCCTGAGGGGGCCAGCAGATTGGAGAAAGCATCACACAGAGATGGCTTGTGTGTGCAGCCAGGTTCCAGTTTAGAGAGGCGCTGTGGCTATAGACAATGCACCACCACTTGGTAGACCACGGCCAACTCCCTTCAAAATAAACAAGTCACAATTCTTATAATTCATACTTTTTATTTTGGATTTTGTTCTTCTCTTTTAATACTACTATTAACAAATAAAGTTAAGTCCAAATGTGATGCCTAATTAGTAACTGCTGTTTTGGGCATGTTTTAAGAAAGCATATAGAACTTTAGACTCACATACCCCATTTCTGGACAGTTGTTGCTATTTCCATTTTTGAAAATGTCAGGTACGAGTGATTAAATGTCTTTACTGCTAACAGCTATTCAGTAAGGTCACAAAGTGAGTAGTCCTCCTAAATCTTATCTCCAGTGATTTTTCTCCTTTAAAACTCAGTTAATCTAACAATTACATCCAATCTCACATAATACTGAGAAACTAAAAATAATTATTACCAATGAAGTAAAAGGTCTTCAATAAATCAATATTTCATAAAGAATTAGATAAGCAAAATTAATTGAAATACTAAAACACAGCCTACTAATATATAAATAATATTTTAATACTATGCTTAAGGTTTCAAACATGTTTGCAAACTCTGTAGTCATAACAATCAGAAATAGGTTACTTAGCGAATTCCACAATGTTTTCCTTCTCTGTGGAATTGACCAGGGATGGATCATCTGTTTCCACGTCTAGAATTAAAACAAACAAAACACTTGTTTACTGATCAAAGATTTACTATAATTAGTAAATAACTGCTGCAATTGTTATGATTCTTGAATATGGACCATATTTACCAGGTTGTTTTTGTTTTTTTGTCCTTAAATTAGCTATGTTGTTGTTGGATGCCATAGAGTCGATTCTGACTCATAGCGACCCAATATGACAGAGTCGAATGGCTCCATAGGGTTTTCTTGGCTGTAATCCTTACAGAAGCAGGTTGCCAGGTCTTCCTCCCTTTCAGTTAGCAGCTGAGTGCATAATAGTTGCACCACCAGGGCTCCTTAAATTAGCTACAGTTATTGGCAACTCAAAGGCAATACAAATGAGAAAAGAGGAAGGAATGTAAATGGAGAGAACATGTTATAATTCTATTTTAATAGGCAGATGAAGGAAATTTTAATGTAATCTGTATTATCTGAAACTCATTGATAGACATAAAATTTCTGAGTGGCATTTTTCTCTTGTGAAGATTATGGTAAGCATATTATGAAATGCATTTTTCATACACTGTAAGGTCAGAATGAGGTTCTGAGTGCCATGTCGCAAAGGAAAGAAACCAGATGCTCTAGTTTAGAGAAGGGAAACTCAAGGGCCCCTATGTGAGGCTGGACTTTCCATCTTATATTTTTCTTATCTACAGCATTATGTTGTTATTGTTGTTGTTAGGTGCTGTCGAGTCAGTTCTGACTCATAGCGACCCCACGTACTGCAGAATGAAACACTGCCTGGTCCTGCACCACGCTCACAATCATTGTTATGCTTGAGCCCATTGTTGCAGCCACTATGTCAATACATCTCTTTGAGGGTCTTCCTCTTTTTCCATGACCCTGTGCTTTACCAAGCATGATTGTCCTTCTCCAGGGACTGATCCCTCCTGACAACATGTCCAAAGTATGTAAGACGTAGTTTCACCTTCCTTGTTTCCAAGGAACACTCTGGCTTTACTTCTCCCAAGACAGATTTGTTCATTCTTTTGGCAGTCCATGGTATATTCAATATTCTCTGCCAACACCACAATTCAAAGGCTTCAATTCCTCTTCGGTCTTCCTTATTCATTGTCCAGCTTTTCCATGTATATGAGGCGATTGAAAATAACCATGGCTTGGGTCAGGCACACCTTAGTCTTCAACGTGACATCTTCGCTTTTCAACACTTTAAAGAGGTCTTTTGCAGCAGATTTGACCAATGCAATGTGTCTTTTGATTTCTTGACCACTGCTTCCATTGGTGTTGATTGTGGATCCAAGTAAAATGAAATCCTTGACAACTTCAATCTTTTCTCCATTTATCATGATGTTGCTTATTGGTCCAGTTGTAAGGATTTTTGTTTTCTTTATGTTGAGGTATAATCCCTACTGAAGGCTGTGATCTTTGATCTTCATCAGTAAGTGCTTCAAGTCCTCTTCACTTTCAGCAAGCAAGGTTGTGTCATCTGCATAACGCAGGTTGTTAATGACGCTTCCTCCAATCCCGACGCCCTGTTCTTCATAGAGTCCAGCTTCTCAGATTTGCTCAGCATACAGATCGAATAAGTATGGTGAAAGAATACAACGCTGACGCACACCTTTCCTGACTTTAAACCACGCAGTATATCCTTGTTCTGTTCGAACAACTGCCTCTTGATCTATGCACAGGTTCCTCATGAGCACAATTAAGTGGTCTGGAATTCCCATTCTTCACAATGTTGTCGATAATTGTTATGATCCACACAGTCGAATGCCTTTGCATAGTCAATAAAACACAGATAAACATCTTTCTGGTATTCTCTGCTTTCAGCCAGGATCCATCTGACATCAGCAGTGATATCCCTAGTACCACGTCCTCTTCTGAATCTGGCCTTACTTTCTGACGGTACCCTGTCTATAAACTGCCGCAGCCGCTTTTGAATGATCTTCAGCAAAATTTTACTTGGGTGTGATATTAATGATATTGTTTGATAATTTCTGCATTGCGTTGGATCACCCTTCTTGGGAATAGGCATAAATATGAATCTCTTCCGGTCTGTTGGCCAAGTAGTCTTCCAAATTTCTTGGCATAGATGAGTGAGCACTTCCAGTGCTGCATCTGTTTGTTGAAACATCTCAATATTCCATCAATTCCTGGAGCCTTGTTTTTCATCAATGCTTTCAGTGCAGCTTAGACTTCTTCCTTCTGTACCATCGGTTCCTGATCATATGCTGCCTCTTGAAATGGTTGAACATTGATCAATTTTTTTTGGTATAATGACTCTGTGTATTCCTTCCATCTTCTTCTGATGCTTCCTGCATCGTTTAGTATTTTCCCCTTAGAATCCTTCAATACTGCAACTCGAGGCTTGAAACTTTTCTTCAGTTCTTTCAGCTTGGGAAATGATGAGCATGTTCTTCCCTTCTGGTTTTCTATCTCTGGCTCTTTGCATATGTCATTATAATACTTTACTTTGTCTTCTCGAGCCACCCTTTGAAGTCTTCTGTTCAGTTCTTTTACTTCATCATTTCTTCCTTTTGCTTTAGCTACTCGAAGTTCAAAAGCAAGTTTCAGAGTCTCTTCTGATATCCATTTTGGTCTTTTCCTTCTTTCCTGTCTTTTTAATGACCTCTTGCTTTCTGCAGGTGTGATGTCCTTGATGTCATTCCACAACTTATCTAGTCTTCGGTCATTAGTGTTCAATGCATCAAATATATTCTTGAGATGGTCTCTAAATTCAGGTGCGATATACTCGAGGTCATACTTTGGCTCTCATGGACTTGTTTTAATTTTCTTCAGTTTCAACTTGAACTTGCATATGAGCAATTGATGATCTGTTCCACAGTTGGCCCCTGGCCTTGCTCTGACTGATGATATTGAGCTTTTCCATCTTCTCCACAGATGTAGTCGATTTGATTCCTGTGTATTCCATCTCTTGAGGTCTACCTGTACAGTCGCCGTTTATGTTGGTGAAAAAAGGTATCTGCAATGAAGAAGTCGTTGGTCTTGCAAAATTCTATCAAGCAATCTCCGGCATCGTTTCTATCACCAAGGCCATATTTTCCAGCTACCGATCCTTCTTTGTTTCCATCTTCCGCATTCCAATCACCAGTAATTATCAATGCAACCTGATTGTATGTTTGATCAATTTCAGACTGCAGAAGCTGGTAAAAATCTTCAATTTCTTCATCTTTGGCTTTAGTGGCTGGTGAGTGAATTTGAATAATACTCATATTAACTGGTCTTCCTTGTAGGCATATGGATATTATCCTATCACTGACAGCACTGTACTTCAGGATAGAACTTGAAAAGTTGTTTTTGACAATGAATGCAATACCATTCCTCTTCAAGTTGTCATTTCCGGCATAGTAGACCATAGCATTGTCTGATTCAAAATGGCCAATACCAGTCCATTTCAGCTCACTAATGCCTAGGATATCGATGTTTATGTGTTCCATTTCATTTTTTATGATTTCCAATTTTCCTAGATTCATACCTCATACATTCCACAGCATTACGGTATAGAGGAATAACTTGTTTAATGTAAGGATTTTTTCTACTTTTAATTTATGATTTCAAATAATCATGATTTCAAAGATTATCAACATATTTGTAGTAATTCTGAATCTGACTGCATGATTCTGGATGTTGAAAAATATGTTTTCAATGTGAAAGGAGTCTATCATCCTGCCTATTTCTCTTTAAGCTACCACTTACTGAGACTGCAAGAAAGTATGAAGACAGAAGCAGCATTTCTGGACAGTGTTTGTCTAAAAAGGCTTCACCATACTGAAATGTTTATTATAATATCTAATATATATCATGTGTCTAATTTAATATTTATCAGAACTGCTTACATTTGATCTAACCTGTGAGAAACGTATTTCTCTATGTTGAAAAGCTTTCTTCTTGGCCAGATTTCAAAATAAAATCTGAGTTTATAAAAGAGATACGTTGCTTTTGGAGAGATCATGTTTTGGAAAGAACTTCTCTACCAAATGCTAGTCGCAAAATTTCCATAGTCACTAAGTCATGGTAATAATTTTTTACCACAAAGGTTTTTTCTCCTCCCAGTCAAAATTACACCTCGAGGTTTCTGAGATGACCAGTGTTTTTGCAGTCATTTTGAATCTGACCACACTAGACTGAATGCTGAGAATCAATTTCTATTGCTAACATAGTCTTCCGTCCTTCACTATTTTTGCTGCCTATTTTCTGAGGTAATAAGAAGCCTAATTAATTTTGTAGAACTTCTGGACAATCCTTTGTCTATAATATCTTCCCAAAATGTTTACTATAGCACCTTGTGGAGTTAACTTTAAGACCAATTTGGTCTTTGTCCTTGCTTCCTGAGAGATGATAACCTCTAAAACCTTGGACTTTCCCCAGTGGTTAAAGTGTCTTTGTGAGACAGAGACTGGAGAAACCCCGAGAGCATGGCCCCTGGACACCCTTTTAGCTCAGTAATGAAGTCACTCCCAAGGTTCACCCTTCAGCCAATGATTAGACAGCCCCATAAAACAAAACAAGGATAATGGGGCACAACAGTCCAGGGACAAGGACTAGAAGGCAGGGGGGGATAGGAAAGCTGGTAATAGGGAACCCAGGGTTGAGAGGAGACAGTGTTGACATGTCGTGGGGTTGTTAACCATTGTCATAAAACAATATGTGTACTGTTTAATGAGAAACTATTTGTTCTGTAAACTTTCATCTAAAGTACAATTAAAAAAAGAAAGAAAAAAAAATAAAAATAAAGTGTCTTTGTGAGGACTCCAGACCACACCTAAGGGTTTATGACTCATGCTGGGTGGGGGCTGACTATGCCAGAAAGACCTACCATGCGATATCAACCTCATGATATCAACCTACCTCAGGGGAGAGGTGCTGGAATTTGAATTATGTAATGAGACCTCCAATAAACGCTCTGGACATGAAAGTTCCATGGGCTTCCTGGTTGGTGACAGACATCAATGCACATGGGGCTTCCTGACTGGTGACAGACATCAATGCACATGGGGCTTCCTGACTGGTGACAGACATCAATTCACATGGGAACTCAGGTAGCACACCCCTTTTTGGGACATGAAAGCTTCACATTGGGAACCCTCCCAGATCTTACCCTACACGTCTCTTCACTTGTATCCTTTTTGCTATAATAAACCTGTAATCATTAAGTTTAGCACTTTCCTGAGTTCTATGAGTCGTTCTAGCGAATTATAGAACCCAAGAAAGTAGTAGGAGCCAGCAGGTCAGAAGTGGGGAGGGGGTCCCAGAGCTTATGGCTGGCATCCTGAGGGGGTAGTAGGAAAACCCTGAATTCGTGGCCAGTAGGTCAGAAGTAAGGGTGTCATGGGAACTCCCAAGCTTATGGCTGGCGTCTGAGGTCTTGGGCAGACTTGGCAGTCTGGAGGACTATGCCTTGAAACTTGTAAGATCTGACCTATCTCCAGGTGGTTAGGGTCAGAGGAAGAAGTGCTGCATGGGCAGCTGGTGTCTGGACAGAAGTGGAACAGAAGGTAACAGAATTGAATTCATCCTTAAAATTTGGTGTGAGTAGTGGGATTTCATTTTTCCACAGTACACCTATAACATATTAAGTGCTTAACGGGAAATAAACACTTACCAGAACTGCTTTCCTTTTGACCAGGAGGTAGTGAGATTTCCAATGAATTATTAAGATTGTAATTCTTTACATCCAAGAGTCTCCTTTCTTTGACAGAGTTCCATATGAAATCTGGGTTTACAATATGGATATGTTTCTCTTGGATAGATTTCATTTGATACTGACTCAGAACATCAGCATTGTCTAAGATTATATGCGTGCACTATGAATAAAAGAATCAGTCCATTATGCACTAGTAAAAACATGTTTAAATAACTTTCACCCTTAAAAAGTCTTGTTTGAAGTTAATTTGTGGTAATTTTTCTCTGATTTCTAAAACTTTTATAAATAATATAATTTGTAGCTATATAGAAGTTAAAAGAAAAATCATGTGTTTTTAAAGTGTATGGGTGTACCATAATTGATTAGCCAATCCTAGAGGATGTATCCAAATTTTCACTATTGTAAACAATACTGTGATGAACATCCGCATGTATAACTCTTTGTGCACTTGTTCCATTATTTCCATAGGAGTGAATGGGAGGTTCAAAGGGTATTCATTATTTATTTATTTATTTTAATTTGTTAATGTGTAATTTCATTAATTTATTTTTGAATAATTAGTACATGCTTACTGTTGAATATCTAAAAAGTAAAATAACAATAATATTAATATATTAACTTCTCCCCCACCATTGTTCCCAGTTCCTCTCTCCAGACGCACCTGCTGTAACCTGTTCCTCATGTGTCCTTCTAGAGATAGATATTCCATACATAGGCAAACACACATAAATACTTTTAACCCACAAATGACAGCATACTATACACACTCTTCTATATTTGCTTTTCTACTCAACAATTTATTTTGGAGATCATTCCTCATCATAACTTGTAGGGCTCTCTCATATACAACAGCTGGTAGGCACATTTCAAATGTTTATATACATTGACAAAATAACTTCCAAAAAGGTTGCACTCATAGTATGTGAGAGTTTCTAAGAATTAGAGATCATGTTGGCGTTCTCCACCAAAATATTAAATGAGAATTTATAACAGGTACGAATTATTCATCCATCCACAGAAATAGTAAGAACAGGTAAGTAAGGGAGGCCATATGAGGGAAGTATATACAATTCTGCCTAAACTGGAGGAAAACAGAAACATTCTATTTCTGATATTCACATAATAACTACTAAACGTTAGGGAAAAACCCAGCATCCAGGTGGAGCTGAACTTGCTTCACAGGACAAACGCTACTCACCTATCACCATGCCCCAGGGCTGGGGGGGTCCTGGGGGGAGCAGATGACTAGGTCAACCTGATCAATAGAGGGAAGAACCCTGAGAGTCAGGCCCTACATTTGTAGCCCCGTGACCTAATTGGACCTGTAAAGAACCTCTGGACTTCAATTTTTTACTTCTTACAATGATGTGGTTGAAAAAGAGGTTAGCCTTAATTATTGTCAAGATTCATCTAGCTTTGAAATTTTATATCTAAACTATCAGGGCCTACAGTTTATTTCAAGAAATGGAAGGTAGCTTCTTTTAGCCTTAAACAAACAAAACACACAGTACAAGTTATACCCCAGAGACCAGTTCACACTGCATATTTTTGTGTCTATCCACCATGAGCCACACTTAAAGGTATCACTAGAGTTGACATTTTAACCAGAGACTACAGCATTCTTTTTGCAAATGTGCTATGACTTTTCTCCTTTGACAACATTTTTGGTTAGCCTGAAATTATTTCTATTTACATCTTCAGCTGTGCTCTAATAATATCAGATCCACAGGCATCTGGAATCATTGCACAACTGACTGAAACAGGGAGAAGACAGGACCAGGCTGTCTTCCCTCTACTGACCGTCCCTGGCCCAACTTCCACATTAGCAATGTCACAATTTTTTCTGCCTTCACTGACTCTCCTGTAATCACTGCCATTCTTCTGCTGCCAAATTTTCTCTGCTTACTCTATTTACCATGACCCACGTTCCCATAATGCAGGATGTTGGTCATACAGTTCTTATAAAATTTGCAAATACCTGGGGATGTAATGAAAATGAAAAATTTCCACCATTTTCCTTAATGTCAGTTTGTAGCTTTTTCTTCTGCTGTCGAGGTAAGTACTTGACTTTCAAACAGAACGTACAATTTGCAAAGATTCCCACAGTCATCCTACAGAAAAAAACAGATTTCAAGCCATAGTTTTTAAGGACTCTCCTCTCAGTGAATCTAACTGACAGTGAATTTAACACTGTTCTACATGCAAATTGTAGGAGAATTGGGCATTATTAAAAAAAAAAAAGATATTACAATCATGTTATAGTCACAAAAAAGAACATTATTTATCTTAATTTGCAAAATGTACATTAGTTTTAGAATCATTTCTAGCTTTTACGGCAGATATGACACTAAAAATCTCTTTATACGGGGAAAGTGTTGACATGTCGTGGAGCTGGTAAATAGTGTCACAAAACAATATGTGTACTAACTGTTTAATGAGAAGCTGGTTTGTTCTGTAAACCTTCATCTAAAGTACAATTAAATAAGTAAATAAATAAAGTTCTTTCTACAGGTTCGTAATATATATCCTAATGAAAACATGACAAATTTCAGTACAGAAGAGTGTATGGCTTAAGACTACAGAAGCATTTATTTCTCAATTAAAAATTAGTATTAAGTGATACTGAAACCACCGGGCTAAAGAGGGATCAACCTGCCACAACCTCAGGGCCACCCTATCCCCACCTGCCTGCTCCTGCCACACCATTTTCTTTCTCTTTTTCCCTTTATTCCTTCTCCTTCTCCTTCCCACCTAGCCCTGTACGACACCTCCCCCCTTTCCTCCATGCCACACCACACCACTGCAGCTAGAGACCTGCCTACCAGCCAACCAACGCCCCAGGTCCGCCCAGCCCCCACCCGCAGACTCCCACCAGGCCATTTTTTATTTCATTTTTCTCCATTTCTTTTCTTTCTTTCTCCCTCCCATCTAGCCCCATGCACCACCTCCACACTGTCCAGCTGGGCTCTGCTAGAGGGCCACTGGCCCACCACCACCCTGGGTCGGCCCTGTGCCCACCTATCAGCTCCTGACATGCCACCATTTTTCTCCCTTTTCTTTCTCCCTACCACCTAGCCCATATGCCACCCTCACTTCTTCCTGCAAGCCCCCACTGAACCACAGCAGCAAAAAGCCACCAGGCCACTGCTGCCCCAAGTCCTCCCCACCCCTACCTACTGGCTCCCACCAAAATGTCATTTTTTTCTTTGCTTTTTTTTCTTTGTCTTCTTTCTCCTTCTCACATAGCCCCATACATCACCTCCCCTCCCTTCCCACTGGCGCTTAGGCCCACCCCACCCCTACTCACTGGCCCCCACCTTGCAGCCAGTTTATCTATTTATTTTTCTCTTTCTTCCGTTTCTTTTTCCCTCACACCTAGCCCTGTACATCACCTACCTCCCTCCCCACCGGACCCTGCCACACCACTATGGCTAGAGAACCACTGGCGTACTGGCCCGCCACTGCCCTTGATTCACCCTGCCCCATCTGTGGCACCCACCACACTGCCATTTTTTCTTTTTCTTTCTTTTCTTTCTCCCTCCCACCTAACCCACTACATCACCTCCCCTCCCTTCCACTGGCCCCTGGGTACACCCTGCCCCCACTCTCCGGCCCTCATTGTGCCACCATATTTTCCCTCTTATTTCCTTTCTCATTTTTCTTTCTCCCTCCGAACTAGCCCCTTATGCTTCCCAGTGGCCCTGCCATGCTGCCACGAATAAAGTACCACTGGCACATCAACACGCAGCTGCTCCAGGTCAGCCCCATCCCCACCCACTGGCCACCACTGCGTTGCCGTATATAGTTTTTTCCTCTTTTCCTTTTCTCTGTTTTCTTTCTACCTCCCACCTAGCGCTGTATAGCACCTCCCCACCCTTCCTGTCAGTCCCCAAGTCTACCCCACCCCCACCAGCTGGGTATCTTTTTTTCTTCTCCCATTTTTCCTTTCTTTCTCCCCCAACCTAGCCCTATATGCCACTCCCTTCCTGCCAGACCCACCATGCTGCCGCACCTACAGCATCCTCAGCTCAAAGGCCCACCACTGCACCAGGCCCACACTACCCCTCCCTACCCATCACAAGACAAGCTGATGAACAGTGGGAAGTAAGCCCATACCACTACTTGTCTTATACGTCCACCTAGATGGCACAGGGCTGTGAGTACTCCCACACTATTGAACCAACATCAGGAGGCAGACAGTGCCCGCCCAGTTCTCCCTCAGCCACCTCACCAAACCAGTAAAGCAGGATTACCCTGCCTACAGCTGCCCTGCCTACCCGGACAAGGCAGTCAGAGCTATCATGGCCACATACAAGCAAGCAGAAAAGCATGCCTGGCCCGCCAAGCCATGCTGACATATCAAAACAAAACAAAGAAGCAGAATGAAATAAATGAACATACAATCAATAAAGAAAGAAAATAATACCTTAATGTCTCAGAGACAGCAGACAATATTAAAGCATATAAAGAAGCAGGACAAGAGAACTCCAGAAAATGACGAAAATAAAGAATCAGATGATCCTCCAGTAGAGAAGAAACAGCCGTGGAACTACTTGATATGGAGTTTAAAAGACTCCATAGGGCTCTCTGAGAGATATTAGGAAATAGATTTTAAAAAAAGAAAAAACCAAGGAAAAATTAGGCATAATCATGCAAAACACAGACAAAACCAATGAAAATATAGCCAAAATCAGGGAAAACACAGACGGTGCAATAGAAGAATTCAATAAAATAATGAAAGAACAAAATATCAAAAAAATAAAAATAATTAGAAATCATACAAAAACATCAAGTAGTAATCCAAAAGATAAACAACAAAATTTCAGAAATGGACAACTCAATAGAAGGTTATAGGAGCCAGTCTGAAACAACAGAAGACAGAATCAATGAGATTGAACACAAATCCATAGAAACCACTTTGTTGGAGGAAAAATCAGAGAAAAGAATGAAGCAAACCTAAGAATTAGGCGGGACGCAATCAAGACTAATATCCCTCATAAATATAGATGCAAAAGTTCTCAACAAAATTCTAGCCAATAGAATTCAGCAGCTCATCAAAACAATAATATGCCATGACCAAGTGGGATTCATACCAGGTATGGAAGGATTGTTCAATATTAGAAAATCAATCAAAGTAATCCACCACATAAATAGAACAAAAGAAAGGATCACATGATCATCTAAATCAACACAGAAAAGGCATTTGATAAAAGTCCAATACATATTCCTAATAAAAATTCTCAATAAAATAGGAATAAAAGGCAAATTCTTCCACATAATAAAGGACATCTATAGAAAACCAACAGCAAACATCATTCTCAACAGAGAGAGGCTGAAAGCATTTCCTCTGAGAACGGGAGCACTCCTATTTAACATTATGCTGGACAACAAAGCTACAGCAATAAGGCAAGAAAAAGAAATAAAGGACATCCAAATTGGAAAGGAAGAAGTAAAACTATCCCTATTCGCAGATGATATGGTCCTATACATAGAAAACCACAAAGATTCCACAAGAAAACTACTGGAACTAATAGATTCAGCACAATATCAGGATACAGGATCAACCTACAAAAAACAGTTGGATACCTATACACCCATAAGGGGAATTTTGCAAAGGAAATCAGGAACACAATACCATTTATAATAGCCGCTAAAAAGATAAAACACTTAAGAATAAATCTAACCAGGGATGGAAAAGACAAATACAAAGAAAACTAAAAAACATTATTGCAACAAACCAAAAGAGACTTACATAAATTGAAAACAAATACCATACTCATGGATAGGAAGACTCAACATTGTGAAAATATCAATTATACCCAAAGTGATCTACAGATATAATGCACTCTTGATCCAAATACCAACAGCAATTCCTTAACCAGATGGAAAAACTAACCACCAACTTTATATGGAAAGGAGAGAGGTCCCGGATAAGCAAAGCAAAATTGAAAAAAAAAAAATAGGAGGTGTGACACTACCTGATCTCAGAACCTACTATACAGTCATGGTGGTCAAAATAGCCTGGTACCGGTACAATGACAGCCACATAGATCAATGGAATAAAATTGAGAACCCTAAGGTAAATCCATCTACCTATGGTCAGCTAATCTTTGACAAAGAAGTTAAGTCCATTGAATGGTTGAAAGACAGACTTTTAAACAAATGTTTTTAGGTGCCATCAACTCAGTTTAGACTCATAGCTACCCTATGTCCAACAAAATGAAACAGAGTCTGGTCCTACGCCATCCTCACAATTGTTATGCTTGAGCCCACTGTTGCAGCCACTGTGTCAATCCATCTCGTTGAGGGTCTTCCTCTTTTTCGATGACCATCTACTATACCAAGCATGATGTCCTTTTCCAAGGATTGGTCCCTTCTGATAACATGTCTGTCATAGATTGCATTATGTCCCCCAAAAATGTGTCAACTTGGTTAGGCCATGATTCCCAGTACTGTGCAGTTGTCCTCCATTTTATGATTGATGTAATTTTCCTACGTGTTGTAAATCCTAATCTCTGCCTGTGGTTAATGAGGCAAGATTAGATTATGTTAAAGAGGATTAGGGTGGGATGTAACACCCGCACTCAGGTCACATCCCTGATCCAACGTACAGGGAGTTTACCTGGGGTGTGACCTGCATCACCTTTTATCTTACAAGAGATAAAAGGAAAGGGAAGCAAGTGGAGAGTGGGGACCTCATACCACCAAGAAAGCAGCACATGGAGCAAAGCACGTCCTTTGGACCTGAGGTTACTGTGCAGAGAAGCTCCTAGTCCAGGGGAAGATTGATGACAAGGACCTTCCATCAGAGCCGACAGGAGAGAGAAAGCCTTCCCCTGGAGCTGATGTCCTGAGTTTCGACTTCTAGCCTACTAGACTGTGAGAGAATAAATTTCTGTTTGTTAAAGCCATCCATTTGTGGTATTTCTGTTATAGCAGCACTAGACAGACAATGTCCAAAGTATATGAGATGAAATCTTGCCATCCTTGCTTCTAAGGAGTACTCTGGCTTTACTTCTTCCAAGACAGACTTATTCATTCTTCTGGCAGTCCATAGTATATTCAATATTCTACAGCAGCACCATAATTCAAAGGCATCAATTCCTCTTCG